AAATTGTCATATTTTCCAGAAATTACATGGTTTTTAATTTAAGATGTCGATTACATTTACAGGAAAAGACACTGTAACGTTATTCTTTTTTTTTTTGATCTGTAAGTTACACAAATGATGCTAGGTAATAATAATTGGAGACATTTAAGTTTGGAAAATGATAGCTAACAGTATTAGTTTCACATGAAGTGCGTGCTATTCCAACGTTTTTCTTCACTAGTAGTTGAACAATAAACCCAATTAAGTTATTACATGACTATTGTGTATCTAAGTTCATACACTTAAATGAATTTATAATATCGCTATAAATTATAATATATAACTTTTATGTTTATTTGAATATTCAGCCGTGTTATAAAATCTAAATCATAAAAATTGAAAATTCCTTTTTGATTATTGCTTTGTATTTATAATAACAAATTATGTAATATTTAATATAAATTATAAATGCATTATAATATAAATGTACAATAATTTTAAATTTGTATTTCAAAATGTTCATTAATCATGTTCCTTCCATATAATGCAAAATTTCATTAATTAATATCATTCATGGTTGAAATTGCTATTATAATTGATATTTTATTATTTTATGTCATCCCATTTCATTAAATTAACTGCATCAAGATGTATTTGTATCACTGACTAAAATATAATAAACTGTAAAAAACCTTGCTAATTTAATATTTTTAATTAAAAAGTTTTACTGACATTTTTTAATTAATTTTGTATTACTAGCAAAAGTGTCCATTTCCTTTGACAGTTTTTTCTAATTTGTAAATCGAGAATGCAGTGGTGGTGGTTAAATATTAATTAAAGTGAATTACAGCATTTTATTTCAATTATTACAAAATTACTACATGAATTAAATAACTATAAATTTGCACGTTATTTAATGACTAAATATTATCGTTCTATTTTTCTTAAATTTTCATTGTGATCTTTGGCTCAATATACTTTTGAATGAGAGTGATAAGTAATAATTGCCTTATCTAATTTCTTATCATGGTATTAATGCCAAGTTTGTAATATATACATATTATCATCTTATGTATACACAGTAATCATGAAAAGATAGCGTTTTCTTCTGTCCTTTTCTCAATACGTATATCAATGTTTAATACCGTAAAATAATACATAAAAATTCAAATTTTCACAAACTTCAAAACGCTACAGAATATTTACTACTGAATATTAATAAGATATTTTTTTACTAAAATTTTTCTTAAATTCTACTCTACAAAATAGCTATCTTAGATTTTTTTTTTACATTTTATTTAAAATTTAAAAATAATTAATTTTTTTAATAAAATGTAAAAAAATTAATTATTGAGATATAGCTATAGACCTAACGTCTAACTAATATTTAAAAAAAAAATCAGCTAAAAATATTAACTGGATCAAAAGTTATTTAAGTTGTCAGTGAGTGGTGGGCCACCTTGTATATGTGTTTTTTCTTATATTAATTTTTTAATTTTATAAGAGTGATACTTGTGAGGATTAAAAAGCAGTCGTGTAAGACAATTTTTAAATATAATGAGGTTGCAACGGTAATAAATATTTCAAATTTTAGCCCTAAGGGCCGCAAACGGGCAAAGTTTCGGAAGGGCGATAAGCCTTGACATTCGAAACGCGTTTAACTCTGTGCGATAGGCGCATATCCTCATTTGGGATATGTGACACATTTGAGGTGCCTCCGTACCTCAACCGAATGATCCGATCGTACTTCAGTGACCGGATCATTATCTACAAGAGCTGGCACGAGAACCGAACCCGTAACGGGTGGCGTCTCGCTAGGATCGGTTCTCGGGCTTCTGCTGTGGAACATCGCGTACGACGGACGTATCACGGGGGTCAGAGCAGTAACTACCTGGATTTAGCAGGAGGGGAGTGGACTTAACTTCACCCTGGTAAGACCAAAACTGTCCTGTTCACGTGCAGGTACAAGTATACTTCTTACGGTGAGAGGCTGATGTTAGGGAGCTAGGAGGCGTGGAGTCTTGTACAGGCGTTTGCCGAGTCGGTTATGTGCCCCAAAAAATTGGCTGAACATCAGTGACAGAGGCAACTCCGCCGCTCGGTACAGGAGGACCTGAGGCTCTGGCACATTAGGGAGTATTCGCGTTTTTTTTTTTTATTGTTTGTAATGTGATTTGTAATTCCTTATAAAGATTCCTACCCTCACCACGTCACCCAGGATGCACTGGGGCAAGTGTCCCAGTACAGCCCGGGCAATGGATACTACTCTGGAGCCTGGCTAACGAGGAGGCCATGTTGTGTTGTGATTCAGCTCTTGATTAATTTTGGGCTGAATTAAAACACGGCGGGGTGAGTTCTTATTGACGGTGTGGACCACCCTGACTGAATACTTAATGGCAGTTCCACAATAATGTAGTCCCATGAAAAAAAAAATTCAAATTAACTATTTTTTGTGGTATTAATAACAAAAATAAAATAGTACTACGATTAAAATATTTCAAATTTCTCACATTAAAAATTATTAAAATTAATTTCTGAAAAAATATACTAAAAATATATTATATTTTTAGTAAAAAAATTTAAATACATATTTTTTCAACACATGATTGATAAAATCGACTTTTTATTTAAATTAAAAATATTAATTAAAATATATATTTTTTATAATTTAATTTCGTATATGAATCACAAGTATTAATTAAAGACATTTATTAAATTAGAATATATTTGTTTTTTTTTTTTTTTCTAGTTTCAATTTTTTAGAAAAATTTGTATGGTAACTGCACAATTTTTCCTGAAAATATATTTTCTATTAGTATTATTTCTATTAGTTTTCGTTAACTCCAATTTATGTTGAATTTACTGAATCAAACAACTAACTTTTTAATAAATTTGCTTATCTAAAACAAACATAAATTCAACATAACTATACAACATGGCTTTTTTTAATAAAAAAAAGATATACATAAATATATGATTAGCAAAAAAGTTAAAAGACAAATAATTCTTGTGTCAAATCGTTTGTATGTCTCCGGCAATTGCAGGCTGCTATTTATCGGTAGAATGATTTGTGTGTAATGTACTTAATTTTTAGAGTAATGACTATGCATACGAGTAACATGATGATTAAGCGTGGGAACTACTATCAAAGATACGTGCATAAGTATTATCTTATACCTGTAGAAGTAAGTCTAATGTAATGTTCAGACATTTTACACGTTCTCAATACATATTTAATTTAACTTTAGTGTCAAAACGTCCATTTTTAACATAATGAGTAGATTTAATAGTATAAATAATAAGAAAAAAATGTTTGTCTTACATAATGGCGTGGTGACAGTTTGTATTAAAAATATAAACAATTTAAGTTGTCTTTATATCGAAGAAATCGATAGCAACCGGTTGGGTAGCATTGAGATGTGCTGACAAAACAACACGATACCTATATTTATATTACCACGGAATGGATAATCATGATATATAATATAAAAATAAAGTAGTTGGAATGGTAAAAAAATGTCGTAAAAAATAAAAACGACTCGTATCTAAAGACCGCCATAGGATACTTTTTAATACGAACTCAGTGAAATGGTTACGTGAGATACTTAGCTATGCATAAACAATCGTTTACGCATAGCTAACTACCTATTAATAGATAGTTGAAGCTCACGTTTTTTATAAGAAATTAATATTAATTGAGTTGACGATGTGTGAATATAAAACGCGTGGTTACTGTTTTAGGTGCTAATTATTTCTTAGTGGATAAAGACAGTGATAGTTTTTTTATAGTACCACTCTGCAAATGAGACCACACTGAATTCAAAATTAGAGGCCACACATGACGACTTCATTTTAAATAACACTTGTTCGAGATGAACCACACGAGGTTGAAATTAATAAAATGTATAAAATGTCAAAGTTGACGAATTGTTCAAAGAAATATTGGACGTGAATTGCGTTGGTAATGAATGAGATATTAGTCTTATTGTTGTTGTTCGAGGAGGCACTACAGTTCCCACCATACGAACGTGTGACCACCGACCATTATTGTTATCATTAGAATATTATATTGTTCATCATGACGATCACTATGGAACAAAATGTTTTACCTGACCGACGCTAGGCAATAGTAAATTAATAATGCACAAATATTATTGTAACACATGTTGACAATAGTTATAGAAATCAGCTCACACATAACAACATACACGCTGTTCAATTATGTGTTGAAAGCATAAAAGAAGTTACAAGACGTTATCTTTGATCAACTCATTCAAAATTCATTGTATATCTAAAGATTTTCTGATAGTTGTACTGAAAAATTTTACAAGATTGACATTGAGTCATAAAAGACATGTTAATTATTTAATTGAATCAGTTACAAACTATTAGAAGGTGATTTTCTGTAAATATATTTTTCATTGAATTTCTTCAAACAGATAGTTAATAATTATGATAAAGTAGTATTGAAACTCAACAAATAATTCGTTCGATTGCCTTACGATTTCCTACACTTTTCAACTTACCCTAAAAATCACTTATCAGGCAATTTTCTGTTTGGTAGAACTTTTTGTTTTATGCTTATAAAGTTAGACAACGTTCTTTTTAAAACTTTGTACAGTCAAACATGTAAATTCCAAGTTTAATATTCTGTGTATAATATGAGAAAAAGGTCCTGTGAGAATATAAATCTTTTTAATAACAAAATCCAAAGTATTAATATTTATTCCAATCGTTTTTTCTACAATATATCAATTTTATATTCTTTAAAAGAAACTAGTAAAAAATGGGTTATATGTATACAATATTTTATTATGTACATTTATTTTACTATTATAATATCATCAATATCAATCGGTATTTAATAATCGAAATGTAAGGATTTTATTGACCCAGTGAAACGAAGAGGAAAATAAAATATTATACTAAGTAATAATATAATAATACTTAATAGTATTAAGTAAAATATTTTAGTAATTTTCAGTTGATAGGTACTATTTGTGAAAGTTTGTATAGTCGATTTGAATTTATTTCTTAAATTATCTCTCAATGTACAAAAGTATCATTTATGATAGTAACATTAAACATATTTTAGAATATAACACTTATTATGGAAAAACGTAAAAATAAAATAATATATTTGCATTAAAAATAGAGATAAAAAAAACAAGAGTATAAAATAAAAAAACAAGTAGTTGAAAAAATGATTACTTTTTGGGAACACTGTGTGGACAGTACATTTGATAAATCATTTGCAAAAGAGTTCGGGTTAGTCGTCCCGTGGCGTATTGTTTTCTGAGATAAGGATAAGTGACCTCATCGGTGTTACAATACACACCACCTATGTCAATATGCGTGAAGTTTAATTTAGGATCAGTGACGAATTGGGCGACAAAGGCCGCACTTTTGCCGAGATCGTCTAATTTAACGCCTCCTTCGCCCATCACGGCCACGTCGGCTACCTCATCGCGAGTTATCATGTGAGTTTTTCGCTCATAAGAAGGTAACAGCCACGCCCTGTCACCGGTAATCGCACCGGCTAGTTTCACTTGCTCCCAAGATTGCATTTGATTGGTAAATACGGGCGCAGCCAACTCGCCAAACACGCGGTGTGTGACGCCGCACAACGTGCACACGTTGATTAGTGCCTCCGGTTTAGTGTTGCAGGCGTACGTGATAGTGTCGGCTACAGCGAGCCGACTTATGAACTTGGTGTTATCCACGTTGACAGACTTGCCGTTGAGCGCGTAATACGTGTCCGCTGTCTTAATACCAGAGCCGGACGTACCGTTTTCAAACAGCGGTACGTACGCGTACACGTTGACGGGCAACGTTAGTTCGGCGATTCCTTTCATGAGGCCCACCAATGTAGCACCAGATGCAACGTGCCGCTTTTTGTCGACCATATCGTGACAGTCGCGCATGCAAATGCCACCCGTGTCGTACGTGGTGGCATGACCGACCAGCGCCAGCGGCTTGACGTTTTCACCGCCGCAGTAACTCATCACTGCGAACAGAGGAGGCTCACAGGATCCTTTGGCCGCTTCCAACACTCCGAATAGCTTTTTCGATTCCATCCAGTCGCGGTCGTGTACGTCCACTGTTATTTGCCTGCCGTGCAAGTTCTTTACGATGCATTCACCAAAAACGGTTGGTGTTAACACGTTACCCGGTATCTCGGTCAGCATCCTAGTGACGTTCTGCGCTTTGGCGAAAATCGTACCCCTGTCGAATGAGTCCTTATGATCCTTGTTGTATGGTTCGATACTCGCCATGGCTGGTTGATGAGCCATCGTCTTGATTCCTTCGAACTTCCAAGCGGCCAACACGGCGGCCTCAGCTACGGTTTCCGGGCTGTTCAGACCATCAGCGAATATTTTATTACACCCTTCGTTGTCCAATAGTACCGTCGCCTTGCCAAAAGCTTGTCTGATGTTCTCCTTGGAAACGTATAGCTGTTCGTTTTCATCGTAACCAACGTTTCTTTCCCCTACATTGGCTATCGCTACGTTACGGTAGTCTTTGTCGGATATGTTGAATAACCGCGCGTCTCCCGGCTGTATAGGAGATGCCGATAACAGCTCACCTAACAGCCCACTGAGTTTGTCGTTGAACTTGACGGCTTCCTCGGAAAACTCGTATTTGCTGCAGTCCTCTTGGTAAACGCCCAACACGAGACCATTTCGCTCGACAGAGCTCTTGCATTCTGCAGCAAAACAACGTTTTGATTGCAACGAGGCAATTGAATGGGCTAACGGCCATCTTGGACGTGACACAAAACTATACAGACGCAATAACGATAAACGATCTATAAAACAACGAAACATAATTTAACGAAAAACTGGTCAACGCAAATAGACGCAAGTTTTCCATGGAAATTTTAATGGTCACTGAAAATTGTAACAATTGTTTTAATTGACTTATGTTTTCATAGTATCGATTTTTTATTAATTATTAAATATTTTTTAGCCACCCACTTTTGTTTCAAAATTATTTCAATAATTTAATTTTGAAATTTCTATTTGATGGTTTCATTTTTCAAATATACATTTAATGTTTTTGTTATTTAATCGAATACATATACTAGTTCTATTAACAGAAATTTCACCATATTGAAACATCCATTATCATTATCGTATATATTTAAAGCATAAAATACATATCATATAAGATAACATTTTACTATCTAAACAAAATTGTCATTCTCTTAAAATTTTACCGTGAAAATTACATTTCAATATTTCCAATAATTATTATTAATAATTATGATTGAAAGAAAAATTTTAGATTGCAAAAGTGCATTTATACGTGAATTATAATTATAATTATAAAATTCTATAGTTCCTTCAGATAAAAAGTTATATAGAGTTTCCTATTCTCTACATTTTGTTCCTATCAGATGTATCCTGCAGGAGAGCTCCCACCCGGACATCCGAACGGAGAACTATTTTACATCCGGACATAATTTTTACACTGCGATAATCCATTTTAGAAGACAAAATAGTAGTTGCCTAATTAGGGATGTTAATGTGGTAGTTTCCCCTTGCCTTCCACATCGCAGACCAAACCCTGTTTCTAGGCATTAGTGGCCAAATGTAGATAATCTTGTTCATCTATACTTAGTACTAGAAGCGCTGCTGCCGACTCCTAGGTATATTTTAGTCGGTTCTTACGACAGCCATGGATTATTATGGAGGATGTATTTTAACCCCCCCCCCCACAGGACGAAATCTATAGAGTTACTAAATTAAATCTAAATATTTTAAATTCAATTGAAATGTTTTCAAAACGGAGATATTAAATAAATCAGTAGTGTTCGAACAAAGGGGATAAGTGTATAATTGCAACTTTCAAAAAAATAAAATGGAAACTTACGTAAGATAATTTTTGTTTTAATACAAGTACATTATTTTGTATATATTTTCATATGGGTAAAATGAGATTAAACGTAATTTAAATGTAAAATGTAAGTTTCAATTTCATTTTTTCCAAATTTGCAATTTTACTTTTATTTCACTTGGCCCGAACACAACAGAATTCGTAAATTATTATAATTTACCAAGTATTCATATACTTTGTCTAATGAAATATTGTCACAACTTGTAAAAATAAGATTTTCCAATAACATAACATTATAAAATCAAAATTATGACTCAATCTTATTTTAATATTAAATATTATACAAATTCTTATACTTTTTTAATTACACACTATCCATAAATATATTTATACTAAATGGTATAAATTATAAATTTCTTTAACATCACTTTAAAAATTGTTCAAATATATGTAATGATGAATCGAAAAAATCTTTAAGTCAATAAGACGATTTTCATTCATGTCCTTAAGTTGAAAATTGGACAATAAGAGTAATTTTTTGGTTATTTTCATATAACACGTTAAAAATACTGAAATTTTTACTTATTACAGTCTTTAAATATAATTTTTTTTTCATGTGAAATATCGGCTTGTCACTCGAAGCGTTCATAAGATGTAACAAAAAATCCAATTATTTCTATTTTGAAAAATCGACAAACTATTGTAAGCTGTAATTTTTCAGATAAACCGATGAATTTATTAAAGAAGTTTTAGGTACTTAATTTATAAAATATATTTACGGCTACAATTTATAATCTATGTTTCTTTCTACAAGTGCTCTTTTCCGAGTTATATATGAATAACCAAAAAACTACTCCTGTTGTCCAATTTCAAACGCCGAGTAACGGATTAAAATCGTCAGATCGACTTGAAATTTTTTTGTTAATTTTTACGTTTATGTAAAAAAAATTAAGGGATAATGATTTTCTGAGTATGATGTAACAAATGACATACAACTGGATTATGTTGTAGAAAATACTGACACTAACGAATATATCCTCTAGGTTGAACAGTTAAGTGAAAACGTATATTATCCCTACATGTCAATAGACAAAAAAATAAAATTTATACGAGGGACATCACAGGGTATTATTTTATTAATGTAGGTACTCTGTAAGCATAATGTTATATTTGTGTTATAGATTAATGCTAATTTTTGTCCTCGGTTACATGTGATAACTTGAGTTAATATTCTCTAACTCATTTACCATTATCTGCAATTTCAAATTTATATTTGGAAATATAACAGTTTGTAAAGTAACTTGAATTTTTAAGATTGTCGAATCGATTAAATTTGAAACTATTTTATGAGCATAAGACAAAATTAAACATTTTTATTAGTCAATGACAAATTAAGGGTAATGGGTATTTATTTAGGATAGTTCCCGCCATAACAAAAATAATTATTCCGTGAAGATGTATATTTTTTTTGTTTAAATAAAATAATAAAAGAAAATTTAACATTATTTCCCCTCATGAATAAATTCTGAGTATGGTCATTTCATCCATGTAATTTCTGATTGAAATCATCCATTTGTGTTGACCAATTTTTTATCCAAGGCTATTTGTTGATAGACGAATAGTCTGATGTTTTTTTTTAAACTTATAGAATTACTGTCACGTGATTCTTTTATCATTGTCGTTAAACAAAATACAACAGATCTTTCATCTAACACCCATCATAATTTTAATAAATAAACGACGTGTTTTGTTGTGATTTTTTTAAATACAAGCAGTGACCAACACATTTGTCGGGACGTGTTTATTGAGCACTTCTGCGTATTACACACTGCTAATATTAGTACTCTTAACTATGTCATTATGTGTACACGTTACCTAAATGAATGTTTACATAATTTTGCGAAATTTTCGCTTGCGTTTGAACGTTTTTTACCGTTATCCGAAACAAACAGTTGTGTATGGAAATGCACAACTCTTGCTAAGCATTAGCGATGATCCTACAAAATATTACAAATGGGTTACTATTTATTGTAAAGTATAACTCTTAGCGGCAAAATCTAATAATTTAATGTGCTGGATTGGTTTTGAATTACAGCTTAAAAGAAATATTCGTTCAAACAGACGTCGACGGTAAACAACGATAGGAATAATTATCATCACAATAATCATATTGTGGGCCTGTCAAGCATGAAAATATTTTTTAATATAGTAACAGACCAGTCGGCGAGATGTTGTTAATATCTTTTCATTACTAAATCAACGAGCTCAAACAATTTTTGACACTTAATATTTTAAATCAATCGGAACCGACGAATTAAACGGGTTTTATTATTATTATTATTATTATTCAAACTCGACGGGGTGCAGATCTTGAGTACCATTGAAAATCATGTAAAAATGCAATAAATTATTAGGGGTAGTCATCATGAAAAAGAAACTGTAATTATTATTCTTGTTACTATAATTATTATTTCTACCAATGAAACCCTATGGCGTGAACATTACAACGAACATCACTTGTCGGAATACACGTCGTTTAAATAATTCATATTTAATGTATAAATATCAAATAAACAAATAAATTGTTTGATTAGTAAGTTGTGAGTCACTGTCACGTGTATATAAATCCAATTTAAGTTGCCTTTTATATTATCGCTATTTGATATTTTAAAATGTAATATATCAATATTTAAAAGTAAATATCAAAATTATGCAAGACAAAATTTGAATTCTTACTTTCATTTTTTTAACATCTATCTAAAGAAAAACAGTTTAAATTTAAGTTTGTAATAATTTCGTGCACGTTTTAAATAATTTTCAACTGATTTTGATTTTAAGCACTACAAATATTATTTTACTCCGTGAAAATAATGCAGCTACAGTGTATGATGTCATTTACATAAAAGAGAATACAAATAGGCTCACTTATTCGAAATTGTTTAAACTTTTTTTTCTTAAAACAATCATAACTATTTATTCATTTTCTTTGGGTATACTTTTTTTGAAAATTTGACCATAAACCTGCCCACAAAGATAGATTCAAAATAGAACATTTTCCCCAAAAATTTAATTTTTTCAACTTAAGTTTTTAAAATGTTCCAGTAATATTCCTAGCTTTAAATATACATTAAAATAAAGCTTATGTTATGTACTATGTATAGGATAAGATAAAAAATTATCTCGACATCTTATCTTCTATGTGCAAATAGTCGCCAAATAAAAAATGTAATTTATGTGTAAAAACATTACCGTTTTATGTGTATTTATAATTTTCTGCAACAATTTTTTTGTGAATTATTTATGCGCATATTTAAAATGTAGTCATATTGATGGAGAGGTAAGTACCCTTCCCTTTACAAAGAATAACAATTATAAAGATTTAAGTTGTAGTTATAAATATTTCCAGGGAGAATTTTTTTAGCTTTTTGTGTTAATCCATTAAGTATATTAAAAGGGAAAGACTACCCCTTCCAAAAATAACTTCTAGCTACTAATTGATTTTGATAAATTACAATTTTAATTTTATATTAAATTTATTTAATTTATTCACGAAGGTTAAAATAATCAAATTAGGAATGTTAATTTTTTTTTCTTTTTCATGTATTAAACTTATAAATTAAAGAATTACTAAGCAGGAATAATTAAAAAATATGAGTTTATGTTACCTTTTGAGTAATTCACCATTTTTTTAAAATTAAATACTATCAGCAGATTTGCATAGAGGCGTTTCTTATGACAGTGATTTTAATTATTATCATCTATACTTGTCCCAACTGTGTCACGTTCCCGCTATACTACGACCTCACTGTGTTTTTTTTAAGTCATTATTTAAAAGTAACTTTATATTATAACAATTGTATACTAGAACAAGTTATGGAGACGCTTACAGACCTCTATAAGGATTTTCTAAATAAAATAGGTGTTTTTTATGCTTATAAAATGACAAATTATGAAGAGAAACCTTATTTTTTTTTTTAATAATAGAAAATAGTCAACAAAACATAAATACCCGAGTAGCTAATATTTTTATACTTAAGTATACTAGATATTTATGTAGGAGATCAAATTTAATATCTTACTTGCATTTCAAATATGCCACTAAGGTAGTGTAACATAAATTAAAAATAAATGAATATCAAACAACTCATTAAATTTAATTACACTTATTTTTATAATGATAATTTTGCTATTTCCGGATATTGTATATAGCCAATGTTACTCCAAAAAAATAACAAAAACAGGATATTGAAAAACATATGCAATATAGAAACGCTTAAAATAATGTGGTGCAACATGCATTCAATGTGCTTGCATTTGATGTGTCATATTAATTCACAATACAATGTCACATAGATTTTTAAATGCAATGTAATCTGATAACTTAAATCTGACAACTTTGCAATTTTAAAAAAAAATACGTACTTAATATATTGCATTATTTAATTTTTATAACTTTTAATTCATGTTGACTTAAATATTTAAAAATTATGTAACGAAAAAAGAACTATGCAATATCTGAGGGACGTTTGAGTGCAACTTGTGCCTAAAAGTCAACATTGGTGCAACGTTCTGCTATTTAAATAGCACAGTGGATATTAAATATGAAATAAAGTATATTTTATACACGGGAAACTCTTTGAGAATTAAATTTGTTCAATAAATGGTTATTTTTGTGTATCTACATATATTCAATTAAAACAAAATTTAACATATCATACCGTTATAATTTATCAAGTAAACAGTATCCCATATCATTTCATCAAAAACTACAATACAAATATTAAATTTAATAAACCTGAACTGGGTTTATTTTTCATCGGACCTTGATGTAATTCTATTTAAGCTGTTACAATATGGTACAACCTGTAGTTAGGTAAAATAGATACATGGGAAAATTCGACAAGTGTAAAATTCAGGAAAAAATAAATATGCAGATACGTTTACACTTCAAACTTAATTTGAACATTCTAAAAAATGACTGTTCAAGTATAATATTTTTATTGTTAATAATTAAAACTAGTGTGTGTATTATTGCAATTGATTTACAGCCTGTAATGCGTCCAAATCTACCAGCAGTATTATTATTAAATTAAGAAATTAAGTTTAAAATTAATTATTATTGATTTTTAGGGAGAATTTCGTGTCATATTCAAAGGATTCTGTTTTTGTAAATTAACTAATCACGATCCCATCGATTATAATTTATATTTGAGTAAAAAGTCATCAAAAGTAACCGAGATAAAGGGAAATATTACTTTCTCAGTGCCATTTGATAAATCTATTAATGTAAGTAAACAGTATTTATTAAACGTAATACAAACATTACCTACATTTCCCATAAAGGTAATCTCTTTTCTATTGATATGTAGAGCCTTTAAAATTAATTTGTACATATTTCAAAATTATTGTTCAATTATTATATTTTTATCGCTAGAAGTCAAAACAAATGCATGTATTATTGTAATTGATTTAAATCCTGTAATGTGTCACCGTTAAAATTTGTTCATCCAAGAGATTAAAAAAATTCCCTGTGAAATAAATAAAAATAATCCTTGAGGCGTATACCTATAGCTATTTTAATTTATCTAGATAAATAAAAATATCGAAATTTTCTTTTATAATTATTGGTTGAAAAAGGTAATTAATTATTAAATAAATAATCTTGCATATTTATAATTGCATAATTTTTAACAATACATAGATGGAGACAGTTTTTGCGGTAAAAGGTTCAAATGGTGGATGGATTGACAACGCTCATGTAATTCCTTTGATTAGCAATGCTTGTGATGTCTTAAAATCTATACTCGGACCAGAGACTTGGAATGTTTTTCTCACTGCTTTTAATATTTCTAAAGTTGGATGCCCTATAAAACCGGTATTAGATTTTCAAAAATATTTTTCACTAAATTAAGCTCAACTTTATATAATTTATTTTAGTTTCACTTATTTATAAAGAAAATGTTTTATAAACATACTGATTAAGTTAAGTTATTTATACATAAGATGTCTTAAGCATATGTAATTATAATAATGAATTGGTTACTATTAAATATTTCCGAGTTATGAAAATTTCTTTATTTTTGACATGGATTTCATATTATAACTGAACAAAATACATTTTTTTTTTTAATATTTATTATATGAATGTTACAATGATTGATAATTTTAATAATTTAAAAAAGAGAATGCGAGATTAACCGTTAGAAAAATTTCTTCATATGACTTAAATCAAGTTTTTAAAGTTTATGGTTTACATATCTCTCCAGGATAACCAAAAAAGAAATATTTCATAAAAATTAATTAAAATAAAAAATAAGTATATATTATTATAATTTAATATCTAGAAGTGGAGATAAAAGAGCTATAAAGTACCGGTCAAAGGTCAAAAGCCACTAACAATTTTTTTTTTTTTTAAGGTGAATGAAATATTTTTTGTCTGGTAATAAATAATTAATCATTAACTGGTCATTACAGTGACATTACACATGTCGCAAAATTAGATAAAAAATATAATAAATAATATGTTAGTACTCATTATGATATATTCAATGTGTAAAGCTCAATAATCATTTAAAAAAATTATTAATATACATCATCAGAAAATAAATTAATTCATATATTTTTATATTTAAAAGCTTTCAGACGCTCTTTATATTTGCCTATAGTTTTAAGACTTTTTTTTGATGATAATTTATGAGTTAATAAAATACAAAACAATTATTACGTTGTTTTACTTAAAGTATAAAATACTTTTTAATATTTTTAGGGCATATACATTTCATCCGGATTAGACACAGCACATTTGATGAATGGTAATTTTTTTCCTAAACATTTTTTTTACGGAGATTACAAGGTAACTGTAAAGTTTTTAAGCTACACAAAGAAATTTCTTGGCTGTGTATCTTTATTAACTGATTTTGTACGTCCATGGGATTACTGATCGTAGAAAATTAAAAAAAATATTTTTTTTTAAGATCATTTTTCAATATATAAAGAAAAAATTGAAATATTAATAGAACTATAATTTCAATGTCATTTTTTTTTTCAAAACTACTAAGTAATTTTAGTTGATTTTATTATTTTTTTTTAACAAAAAATGACTAGAAATACTATAGATATTAAATAAATGTAATAAAATAAACGTTATCTTATTATTATACAACACATTTTTTTATTTTATTACCATCTACACAATATATTTAGCTATAAATGAAATATTAAGAAGATAGTACATTTACAAAATAAAAAAATCATATCATAGATGTTTAGATATCTTATATAAAAACGACCTCCTTTAAAAGTAGAAATACAATCATTAATTAGAACAATACATTAACATAATAAATAAGCTAGTTAATTATGTGTGTTGTTATTTCAGATATTAAAATTGACACCTTTATAAGTTAAAAGATGAACATGAAATTTTTTTTATTATTGATACATTTAGAAAAATATTGAACTACATGAAAACAATAAAACAATTATTAATATTAGTTTTATTTTTCGATTAATTAAGATGTTCATGGTAAGTTAATACTTTGAATATTGCAACGTCCTTGTTCGTTGTAGTTTTGAAAATCGACTTTTTAAAATACTACAAAAAAAGATTGATGTTACCCAAACTTCTGTAAATATTATAATCTTCAATCTACTTTAAAAAGTATTTTTTTATTATTATTATTTTTTGTTTTGCCAAAGCCATAACTTATTTAATGAGTAAATAGTCAGCTATTTTTACTGGATTTAAATTTGGCACGTTTCATAAAAAAAATTAATATCCCACTGCCGCGTACTGGTTAATAATACACAAACAGAATGTGAGAACAAAGAGAAATGCAAATTTTGCTACTCCCAATTATAGACATGCAACGTGGCTTCACTAAAGGTAGGTAAAAATATAATTTTTTTTATTACTTTATTACCTACCTAGTTAATTAAGCGTATTTTATGTTTTATGTATAGCTAGCTGCAAGCCAACTGTATCCATTTTAATGTATTCTGGTCAGTATGGCCGTACACAAGATTGCTCATTGGAAATCAAATATGAGTTTTTTCATATTAATTTATGAATATACACTCAAAATCTACACAGTGTGTTATTTTTAACCAAAATTATATTAGAAATATATTAAAGTTATCATTACAATTGAATTTTAACATAACCAACTTTATGTTACATTATTATTATTAATCATATTATATTGCATGTGCTAAAATTATGAACACGTGGTATTTATTGACAGTTTTGTTGGTAAATAGTTAATAAATATTGACTATATGTATGACTTACTGAACTGAATACTTAATTTCATGGATAAAATTAAACTTTTTTTTAGGAATAATTTTTATAAATATAATATGGATATTAAGCATATTATATTTATAGAAATGAATGAAATAAAGTACTATAATTATTATAAATCACTATTTATGAATCTATTTAATGAATATTAATGTAAAAAATGTTTAATCATTGTTCAAATAATTTGATTATTAAATAGTGCTTGATAACTTTAGACTTAAAGCATAAAAGTAAAAAAATATTATCTTTTTTCATAATTTGCCTTTGTTTTTAAATTAAGATTGAACAAATACAATATTGCAGTACAATTAAAATTATTTTTCTTATGATGATTCAAAAGATAAAATTCTTACTGGACAATTACTTTAGCCTACAATTATTTTTTTGATGATTCTAACGTACCTCACGGATACATAAATTATAATATTAGAAAGCCTACTATAGTTATCATGATAATAGTATAAAATGTAATGCACATCATTTGAATTGTGATAGGCACGTTAATTATTCGGTACTATATAATAATGTGTGTGCTCCAATATGAATATTATGAATCGATAAAATTACTATAATTACTCTGGCCCAACCTATACCCTACTGTATAAACGATAAGAATCATAATTTTTAAGCGACAAGGTTAAGGGTAGCAACAATATTAAAAATAATACTTCCTTTAAGAGAACGACCGTCAAAGATTAAGGTCCCGGCAGCTTTTATGATTATGATTATAATTATTATTATTATTCATCGGGACAAACAAAAAAAAAATGATTGCGACGTTTACTGAACCTGCGTTCTAACACTACTATACCCACCGGCTAACAGATGGTAATAATTATAATAATAAAAAAAAAACGTCGATGTACCTTTTCTCTGTTGAAACTCGGTTGCTAAGATTCTTTTCTTATCGCCTGAAATCGGGTACGTTTTTACCAGAAGCCTGTATACTTTCTCCGTATAAAACGTCGGGTTGTCCTCCACGAGAAATACTTATTGTGTTTTATCAAAAGGGTAAACCAATAGGGACTATAGTTTCAGAAAACTCCTGAACTCTATCCGGACGTATAAGAAAATAATTTTCAGACATCATTGAAAATTAATTGTGTAGGCATGACACCCTATTTTTTATTATTATTTTTGCTTTACATAAATCCGTAACACCAAAATTGTAAAATCAACAGATTCAGGAAATTCTGTATTTGTCAGATAGTTTTTAGCAAAAAAAAAAAAGGGAGTAATTTATGAGTGAGATCATTTGATAAAGCTAAACGCCAATGTGGAGCAGGTGAAAAAAAGTTTAAAAACACACATACTCGAAGGAGGGGCAATAATGGCTCCAATGTGTAAATCATAGGGCTAACAGGTGATCGGGTGGTATTTTAGACACAACTGACTGTTGAAGAGATAGACAGGATAGAGTACACAACGTGACTCGCGCATATATTTCACGGAGAACTGACTTTTAAAATAAACTTGAGCGACCGTCGCGCGAGAAGTGCACTTATTAACATACAACAGTAGACAATATTGTATAATTTATATAGACATATAATTTATATAGACTTCTCGTCCTGCAAACCGTTCCGTGTGGATACACGCCGGTCGGTTCACAACAGGGGTTAGTAAAATAAAAAAGTATTATGTAAACAAACCTATTTGACCAAAACAGTACGACTAAATTCACAGAAAAAATACAACTGTTTAATATTAACATAAGTTTAAAACCATAATAGTTTAATACAGTAAACTAGTTCAATTAATAATTGATCGCTCTGAAGAAATGCCTTTTAATGTTCTTCGGGTCAAACACACGGGTTGAATACCTCATACATTTTATGCTCTTAATATCGTACAACCAACAGTTTTTTTGAGTCTACCAACAAAATGTTGAACTCCGTAAATTAAAAGATAATCGTGATTATTTTCATGACAAAAAATCAACGGAAAACTCCTACAAAAATAAATTGTAAATGACGGAGTTATGTAGTTTATTTGATGATATTATTTGTATTGCAGTTAATTAATTATTATTTTTGTCTTTATAAACTCGAAAATTGTAGCTGTTAATTACTACTTGTTAATTTGTCGTTAAGAAAATGTTTATAAATTTAACGTATTATTTTTTATTATATACAGTTTATCGAAATGATTGTTCATTATTTTCTATATTTGTAATAAAATTATACAAAACAACTGTAAACACTTAATAAAAAATTATTTTTATAAGCGAAAGTGTTTTTAAATTAATGGTCTATTTAAAGAAGATATTTTTTAAAATCCATTTTCAAGAAATTGTTAACGTTGTTTTTATTATAATTGTACACCGTATAAATAGATTATTCTGAAAAAGGATTCACTGAATATGTTTGCTATGATAATTACGTTACATTTTATTTAAAATAAAAATCTTGATGACATAATGTGATACGACCAACGCACTGATACAAAATGCAGTTATTATAATATTATCGAGACGTAAAAAGTAAATCAACATCTTTATGGACCGGGTTGATTACCTAAAACCCCAATGTTTAATGTTAGGACAATGAAGCGACCACGTGGGTGGTGATTCGATTACCGTGACAACTCATTTCCCTCTATAGGCATGTGATGACTTCATTAAGTGTTTATAAATCACTACAATGTTAAGGATCTTTATCGTCTCGACCTATGTCTACGTACCTACACATTCATTTGGTCGTTTACCAAGTACATTATAAGGATTTCAGTTGTTTAACGACAAACTACCACCCAGCATCGTAAAACGAATAAATTTTACAAAGAAATCTTCTTGTATTGTGCGTTGTTACTTATTTTTTTATTAATTAGTTATTGCATATTACAATATTTAACATTAACTCTCTCGTTTGATTTTTCAAGAACGTAAATTATTATTTTTCAAACAACAGAAGTGGTTTTAAATTTAACGTACTCGTGTGATTTTTCGCAAACAGCACGTTGTACACAATACACCAGTATTACTATTATCATAATGTTGTGTACTCAAAGAACTACTTTGATTTTAATAAAAAAACTAAACGTTTATGATAAACCACACTTGATATTATTCGTTTTTCGAGGCAAATAAAATGTACTAAAGTGTTTCTAATCGTGCTATAAATGATTTTCAAACATTGAATAATTTAGAAAAAAAAAANGGAAAATGTACTAAAGTGTTTCTAATCTTGCTATAAATGATTTTCAAACATTGAATAATTTAGAAAAAAAAAACAATAGTTAAGTAAATAAAATAACAAATAGTGTATAAAATGAGTTGATGAACTCGAATAGAAACTAAAAAATAACTTTTGGCTGTAACAACTTGTGCAAATATTTAATCTAAAATTTCTTTAAGAAGATCTTGAAATTTTGAATAAAACTATTAGACTTATTGTTATTTGGAACGTTAAAAAAAAAACAGCTCTTTTCAATGTTCTTTTTATAAATGCGTCCCTTAAAAATGTCGTACACTCGGATAAAGCTTTTCAATGGCATTACATTTATTATAAGCGGGTAACCCGTACAATCCTGACTAATACTCGTAGTTAACAACGTGTTGTATTTGCTTTTTAGAAGTATTAAAAGCCCAATGGTCGACAATATGGACACATCCCCTTCACTTTGTCTAAATTCGAACC